AGAGAGAGAGAGAGAGAGAGAGCCCAAGAGGGTAATATCCTGAATCTAAATCTTTGACTAGGCAAACACGTTTCAAATCTTTTATTATGACAAAATACACATAATATAAAATTTACCACTTGCCATCTTAAGTGGTTACAAATAACCATTTTGTAGTTTAACATTTACTGGGTTAGATAACCAATCCCACTATCTAGTTCCAGAACATTTGTATGACCACGAGTCAGAACCCTATCCCCTTTAGTCACTTCACATTCTCCCACATACCCCAATCACTAAGTCCTGTCTTTTTCTATGAATTTGTCTATTCTAAATATTTAAATAACCCCTTATAATATGTGAGGTTTTATGTCTGTTTATTTTTACTTAGCGTGTTTTTATGATTCAATCATGTTGCAGCATATATCAATACTTCATTTGTTTTTACAGATGAAAAATACTGTATTGTATGGATAGACCACATTTTGTTTATCTATTTGTCAGGTAATGGATACCTGGATTGTTTCCACCTTTTGCCTATTGTGTACATTTAGTATTTTGTGTATCTTCTCTGGGAGTGGAACTGCTAGAGTGTATCCTGATTTGATAATTAAATACTCATCCAATTTATATACCTTTTATACCATTTCCCCCTCCCATCAGTGATGTATTAGGGTTCCATTTTCTCAGAATCTTTGACTGCACTCTTGCTTTTTTGTTTTGTTTTGTTTGGGGTGTGAGTCCTGACATTACTCTGTTAAGTAGTGCCCACTGAGGTTTTCATTTTCTTTTTCCATTGACTGGTAACATTGAACATGGCTGGATCTTAGGAGAAAAATCTCTTCAAATCCTTTGACATGTTTAGTTTGTTTTGTTTTGTGTTTGTTATTTTTGAGATAAAGTCTCACTGTGTAGCTTCAAACTCCCAATCATCCTCCCTCAGCCTCCCAAGTTCTGGGATTGAAGGCTATTTGCCCATTTTTAAATAGCTAGGTTTTGTTGCTGCTGGTGAGTTGCCCGAGTTCTTCACTGGCAGACAAATTTTCAGAAGAAAATTATGCACATTTCAAGTATGCATAGATAGTTCTTTCTTGCATTAGTTATTTTCTGGAACAAAAGAAAGGTATAAAATATTCGATGTTAGCACAAGTATCTCGGAAATATAAATTAAAGCCTGTATTACTGCTTAAACTAAAGGTATCCAAAACCATCAACAGTATTTTTCCATTTATTTTTGTGTTCCAATATTTAAAAGTGACTGCATCTGTTTTGCAGAAATACATAATAAATCTGTTGATGAAGTACATTAGACCAGAGAGGAACAGAATTCTCTCCATAGTCCCTTGCAATAACTGATATATTGGGGGAAATGTGGAAATTTGAACAACAACTCTCACATTCATTTTTAATTTTTCTTCTGTAGCAATTTAGCGTCCTTTTAATTTAGTGACTAGAATTTAATTTTCTTTTTATAGCATATTTAATTTTTCTTAATTTTTACTTTTAGCCATAGCCTAAAGGTATAAGTCAAAAATCACTTGCTATGCATATCTTGAGCATTATAAGAGAAAGCCACAAGCTAGAATGTGCCAGTGATATCAGCAACATACACACTGTGCCAGACTCATGTGGACAAACCACAATCTAGGTGTGAACAGGGTAAACCAAGGCCACCCTTCTGTGCTCACAATTATGGAAATTTGATTTGAGTAGTTTCTAACAATTCTTCTCCAAAATTGTGCTAGGTTAGCATTATAGGTATATGCAGATCCCATCAGCTCTAGTCATCCCCTGTGTGAAAGAAAAGTTCCAAACTCCTGCACCGTGGACTGAACTTCCTGCAAGGCTGACCAAGTGATTATATCACTCCAGAGACTGTAGAGAGGAATGTTGCAGGTCCAGAGTCTAATTACCATCTTTAGCCCCCTAAACAGCCACTCCTTACCCACCTCTCTTTCTGATCTAACATCCTGTGACTAACAGATAAAAAATCCTTTTAGAATGTATTATCCTAGCAGACCACCCAGTCTCACCAATCAAAAGTCTAAGAATGTCATCAGATAGCATCTGAGACCTATGGTAAAAATCCCTCACTTTGCTGCGACCTGCCTACTGAATGTATCCTCCAATGTATTTTAAAAATGTCTTGATTTATGACTGTTCTTTGCTCTGTTACTATAAAAATGTAAGGCAACTGTTACCACGCTGGAACATGGAATTTGGAGTAACCTGAATCTATGTTCCTGTGCCATGGTCACTCATATTTGGCTCCAGAATAAACTACCTCTTAATCCTCCTTGAGGTGAGAGTTTTGCTTTTATGTCGACACCTGCAATTCTCATATCATTCAAAAACTACAACCCTATGTCAACAGAATTTCATTTTCCATTTTCTTCTAAGATTTAATGAGCATTAACTGTTCAAATAGTTTATTTTTTCTAAATTGTAGAATTTTCTAAAATTATGTCCACTGAACCCCAACTCCCAGAGTAGGTTTTATTCTGGGATGGGGGTTAAGTTTTGTGTCTTACATTTGAGTAACTTTTATCAGTATACTTTGTGCAGCACTGTTCAGAACTCAGTCCCAGTTTCTCTTTGGCATTTAACTGATTACACAGGGCTGCAGAGATGTCTCAGGGGTTAAGAGA